CCTGGCATGGTGGTACAAACATTTGATCCTAAACAATGAAGGTAAAGTTAGTTTGTAGAAAGAAGCACCTGTGTTTGAAAGTGATATTTAATTGAGTGGCAGAAATTGTGGCAAATCAGAGAAAGAGTTGACAGAACAGGATACAACTAACTCTCATAAGAAGAAAGAGGAAAAGGAAGCTACTTAAGAAGCAAGCAACACAGAGAATGAGAAAGAGAGAAGGCAGTTTTACTGGGAGATCTTTATTGAGAGCCATTGAATAAGAGAAAAAAACTAGACACAAGTGAAGACAGAGTGAGCCAGAGAATAAGGACCCAGAAGATTAGAACAGATTGCTGGAGTTAGTTTGAGGCCAAAGAAGAGCAACTCAGAGGCTGAGAGAAAAGCCAGATTAATAAGTCAGCTGGGAGAGAAGTTTGAGCCAGAATAGCTGAGTTGAACCATCCAGTTATGAGCTCAGTAAGAACAAGAAAGTGTGAGCTTATTAAGCAATAAGTCTCAGAGGCTGAAAACTTTCTAGGTCTAGGTTGGATTGTATGGAGACTAGAAGCTTCCAGGACTAAGCCTAGGTTAGCAGACAGAGGCAGTGAGCCTCTGGGGTGACACATGAAACAGGTGAATAAAAGTTCCTTTTACAGGTACCAAAAACCACATTAAATAAGAATGCTAAAGAGAGAGAGAAAAACAAGGAACAACATTAACAGAAGAAATATGGCTTATGTTAAAAGTAAGTACAACTTTAAAGAAAACATAGAAGAGACAGAAAAAGGAGGAGGAGAAGGCATCACCCTTAGATTACCCCCAAAACCCAACCTAGGAGGACCACCCTAAGGGCTGGGGATGAGCCACAGTGGTGAAGTGTTTCCCAGCATGCACAAGGCTTGATTTCCAGGCTGCCCCCAGCCCACACCACACACACACAATAGAAGTGGGAGTCTCTCCTTTAAACATGGCACTTGAGAGTTTGAGGCAGATCATGAGGAGTTCTGTATTAAACCAAAACCAAAACAAACAGACAAAAAAATCAAAAACGGTAACCGCAGCTCACATTAAACTATTCTGCAACACTGTTGAAAGGTCCCTGATGCTCGGGCGCTGTCCGTTCCATCTTGTATACTAGACTGCTGGTACCCCAGAGTCTAGCTGTAAAGCAGGCACTGTATTTCAGGAGTGAGCAGAGACTGTGGGTGATGATGAAGTACGGGCACATACATAGCACCTGGCTCTGAGGGCATCTTACATCTAGGGCTACAATACACAGTTCCTACCAAGCATACAAAAACATATATCCACCAGCGCTCAAGGCAACACCCAGCCCCCGTGACTGCCAAACAGGAAACAGGCCTGTCTATCAGCCTTGTTCCTAACTCATGATATCCCTAGCCCTAAGAGTAGACACTCACCTCCCTACAGAAAACATACTGTCAACTGAAAACAAGAAACCAATAAAACAATATGCTCCCGTCTGCACAGTAAGATTCTAATGTACATCTACTTTAAAAATCTTAAATCTAGGATACTCTCACCAAGCTATAAAAAATGTCTGTCTCCTTGAAGTAGAATGGTTGTGGAAAGCAAACCTTCTGTCTTAGGTTTTCAGCCACACAGAGTGTAAGCTGATACAATCCTTTTGAATGTAATTTGACAAATGCATCAGAAGTTAAAATGTATTTGTCTTATGACCTGTGATTTACCTGCAGGACTGTCTCACTGCTGTGGAGCACATGTGCGGACGCAGTGTTGACCATGGAGCGACAAAAAGGATCATCTGGTATCAAAGGGACTGGTTCTGTAGCTTATAAGAGCTGTAACTCCCCTATGAAAATATGGACAGAGGCGTGTCTTCTGACTGTAAATAGACTTATCCAAACACAAATGATCTCATATGACAGTTGCTGCAGGATGGTCCCTCTGTTGTGTAAAGGACTTCAGTTGGTACTGGACTTGGGGCCAGGGTTTTGGTCCCTTCCTGAGCCCCTCCCCACCCCACAGTTCTTTCACCACCAATTCCTGAGAGCACAGGCTGAAAAAGAAAAGGTTTCATTGCAGAGTGTCCCTCCCTAGCTATACACTTTTAGCAAACTTTGTAAACTCTTTTTTTCCCCCTAGGATATTTTCCTCAACATTTGTCCATATAATAAAACCATAAGAAAGTCAAATCCAAATGGCATGAGGCATGAGCGATCAAGGTTAATTAGTAACAAAAGGAAAGCAAAGGGGACCAAGCACCAATCTAAGTCCCACCTCCACGTTCATTACATGGTTCTTTTATACTACAAGACTTTGGAAATGTCCTGTGTTCACAAAACACCGCTTTAAAATGATGAAGTAGGCCCGACGGTGCTTGTCTATAATCATAGCGATTCAGGATGAGGAGGTAAAATCCAAGGTTCAAGGCCTGCCTGAGTTATCTAGTACATTCAAGGAAACTCTGCCTATTGCCTCAAAATGAGATGTAAAATTAGGACTGAGCCTCTAGCTCAGTGGCAGAGTGCTTGGCTAATACACAGGAGGCCCTAGGTTTAGTACCTAATATATAAGGTGTGTGAGTGTGTGTGTATATACACACACCCATATTTTAAAGCAGTTAAAATGTGTTACTGAGCTTTTCATAATAAAATCCCATTCTCATACACAGCTTTCTATATTTGGGAATGTGTATTTTACGTATTTCTCGTATGCAAAAGCACGGGAAAGATATAAATCAAAAAATGTTAGTACTGGTTATTTTCAGTACCAATGGTTAGGATGAGTTCGTTAAATTTCTCCTCTTTCTGTTTTCCCTTTACAGTGACCACATATTACTTCTATAATTAAAAACAATGCTGTAGAGCGCTGGAGAGCTGGCTCAGCAGTTAAGAGCGCTGGCTGTTCTTCTAGAGGTCCAGCACCACATGGCAGCTCACAACTGTCTGTGACTCCAGTTCCAAGGGATCCTACACCCTCGCACAGACTTGACTGCAAGCAGAAACAACAATGCACATAATTTTTTAAATTAAATTTTAAAAAATGTTGTCTGGGCATGGTGGTTCATTTCTGTAATCCCATCACTCAGGGGACAGAGACAGGAGAACTGTTGCAAGTTCAAGGCCAGTGTGGTCAACATAGAGAATTCCGGGTCAACTAGGGATATGCAGTGAGACTATTTCAAAGAAAAGAAGGAGTATCACACCCCCCCCCCAACAAAAAAAGGAAGGAAGGGAGGAAAGAAAGGAAAGGAAAGGATAGAGCTGTTCTCGGGATAGACTGTGTCCCGGGAATGTCTCAGGCACGAGTCACTAGGAAAATAGCAACGGTCCAGCACTGGCCTATCCCTGAGTTAGATACCCAGCAAGATGAGAAATCAAAACGCAAAGAAATGTGTGGATGGGGGGGGGGGGGAGGCGGAGGCGGAGATAGTAGTGGTTGTGAGGGAGAGCTAACTGAAATGCCACATTCACAATTCAGTGCCACGCCCCTCCCCAGCCCCCACCCCACCCCCGCCTGCAAAAATGAGTTATCTTAGGTTGGGATCCTTTCCGGGAAGCAATCTTTCGGAGGAGGAGAAAACCAAGCCCAATCTGCTTTTCAGCAAGGAGCACACAGAAAGACCAGGCCACAACGGTAAGCAAAGACGTCCTTTGACACGCAGGAAACACGCTTTCAAGTGTCCCGCATCCTAACCAAACTAACTGAATTTCAGTTGGGGGAGAAACTCGCAGTATCTAAAGTCTCTGTTCCTAGACTGACTCTTTAGGAAAGTTACCGGCTGTGGCGATTAAGTATGCAGAGAGAAAAACCAAGGTGAGACTAAGTAGCTCGGGTTAACAAGTAACCTCATTTTTTTTTAATTGCTAAATCAAGTTCACAGTATACGGAAGGAAACTCTCCCTCCCAACGTCCTCACTCTATAAACAGAAGGAGCGAAATAATCAGGGTATTCTTCCTATACTGTGTGAATCATAGAGGTAATCACTTCTGACCTTTTTTTTTTTTTACGTTTGCACACACCTTTGTCCCTGAACTTCTTTAAATCACAGGCAAACGAAGAGGGTATAAACGCTCTTCTACTTCTTCAAGAGAAAGTTATAGTGAGAAGTGGCCTTTGAGACACCAACAAGTTTAGCCGGGCAACGCAAGCGCCAGGCCTTGTTTTGCATCACAGCGGCGTTATCGCGGGCAGAAAACACCCCCAGGCCGCCCTCCAGCCTGCAAGGGCCTGCCTGGCTTCCAGAAGCACCGGTTCGAGCTCACCTGAAGCAGCAGCACCGCCCAAACCCGTGGCCCTGCACAGGCTGCCGCCGAAGCACCGCCCGGAACCGCTCTCTTGCAGTTCTGTTCCTCGGGCTTGGCAGCCTCGGCGCCGGGCTTGGGTGGCTGCCAGGGTGCGCCCCGGGCGGCGCGAAGGTCTCGGAATCCGTAGACCTGACCGTCACCTGATCGAATCTGAGGATCCCGAAAGACCCCCTTCTACCACCCCGTAATACCCAAACAGCCCGAGTTCCAGCCAGGAACTGCGACTCCTAGGGAAGCCGAAAAAGGCCTCAGTGAGTGGGTGGGAGCGCAAAACTCAAGCGGGGAACTCCCCAGGGCTCAGGCTCCACTCGCCCCACCCGGCCATCAACTCGCTATAATCCATCCAGGGGTCCGGCAGGACCAGGCCGGAGATGGTTCTCAGGGCCCGCGAAAAGCTCTTCATGACTCGGTGTTTGCAAAGAAGCGACCCGAGGGAGGAAAGGCTGAGTCCTCCGCGCACCCGCAAAGCGCGGGCGCTCCTTCCTCGCCTCTCCGAACCACGCCGCCTAACAGAAATTGGCGTACCAGACCGGGATTGTCTCTAGCACGTCTTTAGGGCACTTCCCGGGTGTCCCAGCCGACTGGCCCCGGTCTTCAGAGACCCTCAACAAAGCCACCCAGACTGAGAGTCTAGGGATGCGCGGAGAGTGCGCACCTGCCCCGCTTCCCCCACCAGCCCCGCGCGTCCCTCCGCCGCTCCAGCCCTCCCTGTGCAAGGTTTTCACCTTGGTAGGTCCGGTTGCAAGAGACCGAGGCCGCCAAAAGGATGACGCCTCCCAGCAGCCACGCCAGGCTGAGACTTCGCATCCCCGGACGTGGGGCGGGCGGAGAATCCGCCACCAGCAGTTCGAAACTCCGAGTCCCGCTCGGAGCACCGGGTCCCCTACCCGTAACCGGAGCCTCACTGAGCTTGCCTAGGGCGGGACCCGTTTCAGTGAAACCCGAGTCCCGGGACGCACCTGCGGAAGGCCACGCCCCAAGGAGGCCACGCCTCGGTCACGCCCCTTCGAGCGTTTTACGCAGGTCCCACCAGGGCCACCTGCCAGCCCGTAGCTCCGGTGTGCTGGCCAGAGTCCACTAGGCTGCTGCTGTCGCCTGCGGGCGTGGCTGGACCAGTGAGGTGGCTACATTGGAATGCAAATGACAGGAAGGTTGGGACCCAGGGTTCTTAGAGCCTGGGCGATGTCCAAAACCATCTTTAACCTTTAATTACTTCAGAGAACTAGTGAGGTCATCCTCTCTCACCTCTGTGAATGATAGAAGGTCTAACTAAGCTCCTTGCCTGTCTTCATTGGTGTGGAAGGCTCCGTGGTGGAATAATTGCAATGCAGGACCGTAGATGAAAGGGTTGTGTTTGTTTGTTTTGCTGATTGTTGTCTTGGGTCAGCCTTTTGAGAAAGCCTTCTTTCCCTCCTACCCACCTGACTTCAAACTTGTGATTCCCCTGCCTCAGCCTCCTAAGTGCTAGGGTGGCAGGCCTGTGCCACCGGCTCGCTGGTCAGTTTCTGGGGGAGCAGAGGCAAGGCAGACTGCTGTGAACACCATAAAAGCGGGTAGGAAAGCCTCGGCGTTCTGGGGTTAGGTCTTCAGCTCATCCATTGACTGCTGCCGCTGATCAAACCCGGACGTGTGAGCTGGAGTGTGGAATGTGTGTGCAACAAGTACTTGCTGACAGCATCGTGAGCGGGCCTAGTGCCTGCAGCACCCTATGTGTCCACTCCGTCTTCCCAACTGAGAGAACAGGAAATGGAGCGGAATGTTCGTTGCCTCCAGTCACACAGTTCACAAGCACAGCTTGAAAATGTCCTTCACATTCAGGCTCAAGTGTGTGATGCAATCTGCTCACAGTTTGTTGTTCTATACCTGATTTCTCCAGGGTCTCTTCTGTATTTTGGTCCCATAATCCGAAGAAACGTAGAAGCATTGATTTGGGTGTGTAGCTCGGTAGCACAGCATGTGCTTAGCATGTGCCAGGACCAGGGCTGATGCCCACCACAGTGGCACATGCAGGGACAGGAGAGGTATGAGACAAAGGTGCACAGGGCCTTCATCATATTTACTCTTAAAATAGTAGAACAAAGGCAAAGTCAAGCCCCAAACCTCAGTACTTCAGCACTCTAGAGACAGAGGCAGGAACATAAGGAGTTCAAGGCCAGCTGGGCTGGATAGTGAGACCCTATCTTAAAAAGAAATTTAAAAAAAAGAATAACTCAAAGTGTACTGTTGTTCATTCAAACTGCAGTTTAAACATCAGAGACTGTACTAAAAGGATTCAGAGGCAGAAGAGGATCTGATAAGCACAGATCCCGTGGCTCCAGCAGGAGGTTGATTTCAGCTCAGTGCAGAAAGGACCGTCTGCAGTCCTGGACGGCTCCTGAGATTACCACAGGGTTAGCCGAAAGACCAAAGTTAGTTTGTCCTGGGCTCGAGGACATTTACCTGACATGTGGCAGAGGGGATCCACTCCAGAGGGGATCGGACTGACTCCACATATCTTCTCAGGAGCCTTGAGTGAGGCGATCACTAATGACAGTTACTAATATCTGCACAGCCATGAAACATGTGATCACCACCACAGCCCTGTAAGTGTGTAGGACTGAGTTTCTATCTAATGAAAGAGCCGGGTCATCCTTCCTCAACATATGCAGTGGACGGTTAGGCTTCTGCCTCTTCCTTCTGCCCCCATAGAGGGCCTCACACAAACACAGAAAGAAAAAGAAGAAAAGTAGATGTTCCTGAGTAAGCCATGAAAATAGAATGTTTCCCTTCTAGATGGTGGAGATAAACAAGTAGAATATTCCTCCCAATACACACACAAATACATACTCAAAAGACGCACACACACACACATACACATGCACAAACACATACACACGCACAAACACGCCCACAGGAGTGTCCATAGAAAGTCCAGGGATGAGACAATTCTCTTCAGTGTATTGGAACATCTCCAAGGAGTCCTTCATCCTAGTCTCAAGGAAGTTCTTTTGGGAATGTAAATGGAACTTAGCTTCATTAGTGTAGGCCTTCGGGAGAGTCTGGCTTCTCTCTGTTTGTACCTCTGTGGCCTTAGATAAATTATTCACTCTATGTTTTGATTCCTCACTTTTGAAATGGGATTATCACTTTGTCTGTTTAAAGACACACCTAAGCATAAAAGAGTGGTTGTGATATGAAGTAGAACAAAAGTGTCTTTTTTTCCCCTTTCTCTCAGGAGTATCTGTCATACCCCTGTCCCACAGCTTTCAGGGTGTGGCTCCAGGGTCCACCCTTTAGAAAACTGACTTCTAAACGCAGTGGAGTCTATTCTAACCTAAACATCCCTTACATTAATCAACAGGGAAAGTGGCCAGGTGGTGCTAGCACATGCCTATAGTCCCAGCACGTGGGGGCAAGGCTGTCAAATTTCTGAGTTTGAGGCCAGCCTGGTCTACAGAGTGAGTTCCAGGACAGCCAGGGATACACAAAGTTTAGGGAAAGAGAACAGGAGTGGAGGTGGGGGAGAAGGGGTATAGTGAAGCCACAAGTCAGGATTTTAATGGCTTCTTTTTACATTTAGTGTGTGGTGTGTCGTGTGTGTGTGTGTGTGTGTGTGTGTGTGTGTGTGTGTACATGACATTGCATGATTCTGAAGTAGCCAACTCTGACTCTAGGGACTAACTGCAGCAGTGAGAGGCCTCCCTGGTGGTTTTTTTCCCTTCTCTGGAGGGTTAATTCACTGAGTCTGTGATAGAACATGGGAATTTACATCTTGCTCAGGAAAGCCCACGCATTGGGTTGCCAACTGTTGTCTCTGCATAGTCCTCAGGAATAGGTGACCATAGCTAACTCCTGATTGCGTAGGTGCCGTGGAGTGGGGCCTTGTATTTTTCCCTATAATTTGAAGAGGGCATTTAGACAGTTTGGGGAAAAGGCATGAAATGAAGCTGAATTCTGCATTTCTTTGTCAAACACATACTCTTTCTGGAGAGATGGAGTCCCTGAACTTTTGGGGCCTGGTGGGATATAGGTAGAGGAGAAGCTCTTCTCTTCACTCGCTCCTCTGTTGAGCACACACTCTGGACAAGGCGAGCAAGGACTTCCACAGTCACATCTCGGGCCCCCAACACGCAGCCTAAGGGTGGGAATGACACCGTTGACCTCCCCAGGCCCACACTGCCCTTGATTCCTCACTGCCGGTTCAAAGTTGGTTCTCTGCTGGTGGGACCACACTGCTGGCATCTAAAGTGACCTGGGTTAATCCTTGTATGTCTTTCCAAAATGTGTGTTCATTCATTTGTTGGTTCATCCACTCCTGTGGTTTTAAGAACCATCTATGCATTGGCAACACCAAATCTTTTTCTGTCCTAGGTTTTTCCACTGCAGACATGAAATAATTCATCTTGCTATTTCCTTTGGGTATGTACAGGCTTATCACATGTATTCTCACACTAGACAGCTGATATATTTCCCAGCACCTTTTCCTTGAACAATCTTCCCAGCACTTCAAATTATGCCTCATCCCTCTAGTTCTTCAGATAAAAAGAAGAATAAAAATCCTGCTTTGTCCCTGGGCACTTTGTGTTCCGTATCTGATCTATCAGCAATTTTATGTAAAATCGTAGCCAAAATATCATCCTCTCCCCAGTGGTGACTGCCTTCTGCTTCTGTTTCTACAACAGCCCATGACTGGAGTCCTTCCTTTCATCTACAAACTTTCACACCCACAGTCTCACCGAAGCACGACAGTTAGTGAAAGCCTGCTGAAACGTCCACCAAAGAATCCACTTCCTCCCTTGAAGAATTAAAGTGTTCCGCACTCTCCACATTGTAAAATACAAAATTTCATAGGTATACTCATGCCACTTCTTCCTGATTTGCACATACACAATGTCTGCCCTTGTCTTCTAGTATTTCTGTCCCACTCATTTGCAGGCCAAGTACAGCTCCTGTCTGTCTGCCTCCTGCCATTTGTCTGTACTCACTACCCGCCACTTAGAGGACCTTTCCCTCAGACACCTCTCTGGGTGTTGGCTTTCTTAGACTTCGGTCTTTCAAGCTGGAGGGGTGTTTAGCAGCTGAAGGTGCTTCTCTCACTTAATATGGCTTGGCTTGTACACAGTGGGGCTGAGAGGTCCAGACGTCAGCCAGAGGCTAAACTGATAATGGCATCACAATCCAAAGAAATAATCTCCTTTAGTAATTATTTCAGGCATTAGTGGCCAACTATTGTCTAGATTATGATCTTTGGGTTTTATTTTTTAAAGAATATATTCATTTAATTTAACGTGTGCGAGTGGTTTGTCCACAGGTATGTCTGAGCACCACCCGCTTGCCGGGGTGGTGGTGCTCTGAACGAACAAGTGTGCTCAGCTGCTGAGCCATGGCTCCAGACCCAGTTTTCTGCATTCCTAAGCTTAGATTTCTTTTTCCTGCCATGCAAACAAAGTGGAGTGTGTGTGTTTTAATTTATCTTACATTTATTCATTTAGTGTGTATACATGTATGTATTTGTATGTGCATTGGGTGATGGTGAATGTGCCATGGCATGCATTTAGAGGTCAAAGGAAAACTTTGGGGAATTGATTCTTTTCCTTCTACATGTGGCTGAGTCCCAGAGATAGAACTCAGGTGGTCAGGTTGGGATGCAAGTGTCTTTACCTGCAGAGCCCTCTCACTGACCCCCTGGAGAAAATACTTTTAAGGATAGCAGTTTGGGGGGACTTTCAAGCTTGGGCTGGGACGTTTGTCAGATGACAGGTGATAACAAAGCTTCAGTGGAAATCTCACCCTCCTGGGAAAGGATCATGCTGTGCAGAGAATAACTGGTGCTCACCTCACGCAGTCAGCTGGCAGCATCTGGAGCAATGATTATTTGTTGAGCAGGTGGTGGGTGAGGAGCAGAGGGTAGTCATTATGCCACCTGATGACCGGAAAGCCAGCAGGGGTGGATCTGCTGAGCTCAGCT